TGGACATTGGCCAACGAACTATATATGTATATGTCAATATGAAGAATTTGAAATGTTTTGAAAAATTGCAAAAAATCATGCGTCCAATTGTGAAGGTAATTCCTAGAATGATGAAGGAAAATTTGTTATTCATGGAAAATCACCCACAGAAGCAGTTTCTATGGCGCCGACATGCAGATGTTCCACAATAAAATAATGCGTAAATAATCCATCTTTAAATTTTTTTAAATTTTTACTCATTTTGAGAGTGCATATATTTAGTATGACAAATATATATTTGCATGGGAGATTGCGGGATATACGCTATCAAGTTCATAGAACTTTTATCAGTCGGATTAGACGTGAAACTTATGTCTAATACTATGATTGAAAGTTGGAGGAAGAACATAGTCGCTGAAGTTTTTGCTATGCATTTCGATCCATAATTGTTGTTTTGGTATATTTTGCACGTTTATATGGTCAGAAGATATAAAACTCTATACTATTTTTATCTAGATGATAGTTTTTAAATAATTTAGTTGGAAAACATGTGCACGGATGCAATTTTTGTCTAGTTAGTTTTGGATGTTCATCACTCTTCCTATGAAATTTATGGATGTTGGTTTTATCTGCTCAGATCTGGATGTTGATCAGTTAGATTTGTCTAACTTCTTTGGATGTTGATTTTCTAGTCAGATTTGTGTAGACAATAGTTTTTTGGATGTTGATCAGTCTAGTTTACAAATTTTGTTATTTTCATTATACAGATGGTTCATTCAAATATTGAAGCTGACATGGTTGAACGGGAGATACAGTTTGTCATTCACACTAGTTATGAGGAGCTAGTTGATAGAGAGCCAAAAACCTTTGAGGAGGCAATGAAGAGCGAACAATCTAAAGAATGGTTCAAGGCAATGAGAGAAGAAATGATTTCCTTAGAAAATAATCAAACTTGGAAGTTACTACCTAGACCTAAGAATAAATCTACCATTGATTGTAAGTGGGTCTTTAAGGTTAAAGAGGGTACTAGCGCCACTGAACCCTTAAGGTTTATAGTTAGGTTAGTAGCTAAGGATTACACAAAGAAGAAAGGTGTTGATTATAACAAGATTTTTTCACTAGTTGTTAATTATACGACTATTAGGGTTATGCTTGCATTAGTTGTACATTTTGACTGGGAATTTGAACAACTTGATGTAAAAACATCATTTTTACATGGTGAAATCAACCAAAAGATTTTAAAGACAAGTTAAAACCTAATCATGTGTGTTTCCTTAAAAGGTCCTTATATGACTTAAAATAGTCGTCTAGATAGTAGTACAAAAAATTTGACTCCTTTGTATTAACTATAGGGTTTCAAAGAAGTAAGTTTGATAATTGCTTGTATTTTCAACATAACGATGTTGATAATAACTACTTACTTTTATTGCTCTATGTGGATGATATGCTCTTGATTGGTTCATTACCTAAGTGGATAACTAACATAAAAACAATGTTGAGTAACGAATTTGACATGAAAGATGTAACACCTCAACCCTCATGGATCGAAATGCCATGAGATTAACTGTAATTTAGCCGTAAATTTATTTAACTATATTTTTA